AGCGCACGCGTTCTCCTGTTTGCTCTTATAACTCTTCTCGCATGGCTCGTGGTTTTAGAGAAATTATATTTTTGGAATCAGCGAGTACATTGAAATTGGATGAATATAAATACACCTATTACACAACATCATTTATTTGAAAGACACACATTGAATAAAATCAAAGAGAAGTTTCCATAAATTGAGATATAATCAACATCATTGTGTTTCTAGACATTTGTTGGATATCCGAATCACGAATTTTCTTCATCGAGTAGTTCTGTTTCATCATATGTGCCTGAAGATGTTTTGCATGATGTGAAGTTGTATTTTTTTGAGTTTATACCAAAAGATGGTTCAAATCGTATTTAATAGCTGTCGTCAAAAAACTGTCATCATCCCATTCGTTGAAAAAATAAGAGTAGTCATGCATCTTCACACTCAATCATTTGCCGCTCACAATATCGACTCACATTTCGGAGTTTCAGTTTTTCAGCGATTTCAACTACTTCACAAGAGCTAAAAACTAGACAAAATTTCAGAATTTTCAAAAAATTCGGTGTTAATCACTCACTTGTAAGAGTCGGACGGACACCATGAGCAATTTGTAATGCCATTCCTGTCAAATCTGCTCGAAAATCACTATTTAAAGGGAGTACCCGATTTGAAAGGATCGCATCATCAGCAGAAAATTTGGAAGAAAAATATTGAGAATGGAATTGGAGCAACTGAAAAATTTTAAAAAGCTTATCACAAAAATTGAAATTCCAAATTCCATCATTTGAGTGAACAGCTTCCAAATGAAGACCATATTCTAATTCCAATGCTCCATTATTCAGCCATTCATTTGGACGATTTACAATTTCAGATATTTTTAAACGACGTCCACTGTATACTGTGCCATTAGTCCCTTTTTTATGTTTCCCACGACTTGCACATCTTCAACCAAATTTTGAAAATTTGAAAAGAACAAAAAATGAAATTCGAGCGTTTTCATTTCTAAATTCGTTCCTTATATATGCTCGAAAACGGTCTCCTTCTGGATCTGGAACTATTTCAAGACCCATGAACCTGAAATTCGATTTTGATTCTCGAAACAAGTATTATTTCCCTCACCATTTCATGTACATACAATTTCTATCCATATCACCCATAGCGATTTCATTCGGATTGTTTAGACATTCTGGGAAGTTTTCAAAACGACAGTTTCCATTTTTTGCGTCTATAAAAGGAAATCAAGGATTCGGAACGAGTTGAATTCTTACATTGCAATGGTTCAGCCATTTCAGAGAAACAGAAATTGTT